AAATTTTATGAACTTATTGTTAGTCGTTTCCGACAATTGTTTTGACTTCTTCCGGAATTCTACTTCAGGGTGAGTACGGTGCTTCACGTACAAATATATTTTTTTTTATATATTATTTAAAAAGTATTTGGTGCTGAGTACTAAATACTGTTAGGAAGAGGCTTAATGACTTTATTTATTAGTTATTAATGAAGATATTCAGTTATAGTGATAGTTGCATGCATCGGAAAACTAATGTTGGCGAAGTATTTAAAATAATTTTAATCAAATATTCAATAATTATCAACTATATAATTTGTATATATCTATATATACACACACACATATACACACACATATATATATATATATATATATATATATATATATATATATATATATATATATATATATATATATATATATATATATATATATATATATATAGTTAATATAGTAATTTATTATGATTATTTTTAATAATAAACCGCCTTCGTTTATTACCATTTTATTATATTAATATAATAGTTTTTTAGTTCTCAAAGGTTGGTAGAAAATGTCATTAACATTAAGTCCGCCTTTTGGTGTCATTTTGTTTATTACAATATAAATAAATAAAAAGGAGGAAGGAAGGAAGGATATGAACTTTCATAACATATTAGCTGTTAAATGTCCACTGTTGAATATAGGCCTCCACCATAGACTGCCACAAGAAATGATCCCAAGCCACCTGTGGATGTCATTAATACCCTGTAAAGCATTTGATGTCGTCGCTCCATCTAGGGAAGTTGTTATGCATTGCATTTACTAAAAACAATAGCTAATTTAAGAAAATAAAAATTAATAACTTGTACTTATAATGACTTTTAAATAAATAAATATATCTAGACATTTCACGTAATATGTATATACCTACCCAGGCTAAATAAAGCTTGTGCTATGAGAGCTGGACATCATATATTATTTATAAAACATATACTGGGTATCAGTGCTTAGTTCAATAGAAGTAGACATCATCATATCAGCCGTTATATGTCCACTGATGAACAAGGGTCTCTCCCATAGACTGTTACAAGTAACGCGGCCGTTTCTTATGACAGTTTACCATTGGGGGGATTATGCCAGTATTTGAGACGTTTGGCAGGCTCTTTGGGAACCACAGTCTGGCTTTGGTGATCCGTCGACCATTAAGTTCTCTAAGTCGCCTCTTGAAACACCAACACACCAACACCCACGAGAAAAGAACGGATGGTCCATTTTATGCCGAGACCACACGGCAGTGTAAGTAGACATACTCGGATTAATTAAGATAAAAATTTATATTAAACGCGGATTGAATGTACAACGATAAGAAGGTGATGGCAATATATGATAGGAGGACGTTCGTCCAACGCGGTATCAATTTAATTGGTATTGTTAACAATTGTTTAATTAAGACAACGTTTTCTTGATTAGGAGAATATTAATGCACAACAGTACTATGGACTTCCAAATTACAATTACAAGTAGTACCAACTGGCGACAAATGGTTCCCTATTCTGCTTTATGGGATCTCGCTCAATACACGAAAAGCTCTAGCTATTCAAAGCCCGTAATATTGTGACCCTAAAGTAAATGCGGGCTCTTTCTGTACGAGATTAATTGGGGAAAGTTAAGCCTGTCTTAGACATGGGTTATTTTCTCTATTGTTACAATAAATACAATATCTACTTTAGTGTAATAATTAACAATGAAGTTATTCTAATACTTTGTTTATTTTTCATTACAATTAGGGACATAGTTTTAATAATTTGGAAGACATTGTGCAAAATCATCTGCATAGATAATTTTGTTTAACTTGAGTTTCGGCTCAAAGATCAAATGCAAAATTGTTAAATTGTTAGATACAAAAACATAACATTTTAGTCCTCAAAAATAATGACGCAATAGGAATACCATGAAATTTTTGTATAATATTCATGGTGTTATTAGTGTTATTTTTCATTTCGTCTTTAGTACAGGTTAGTTGTCTTAATTTTAGATATTGTCCGTAATGGAGTCGCAAAATCTTTCTCAGATGAAAAGAATAATTGAAAAAACTTAGAGAAAAGGAAGCGACTCATGGTCTATTGACCTACTGAAGGGAAAAAACCGGCACGCGGTACGGGTGGTAAGTGCTTAGTTGGAAGTCGACACTAAAGTCGTCCCGGGCCAAACTTGTCGTTTATTTGAGCGATTTCTAAGCACCCGATCTCGACAATTAGTCACTCCATTGACGGATTCGAAAGAACCGAAGAGAATTCAACGTTTAATAAATAACCAGATAATAATTCTCCTGGCTTGTCGCGTTTAACTCAATTCAAAAATAAACAGCGCTAACTTGAGTCTCAACTCTCGAAGGATATAGAGGCACATAGAGTTGCAAGGCATAGACATTACCGCTGAAAAAATCAACGAGATGGAATACGATGTGTTCAGTATCTTGGGTTATCAAATTCACGAGCGTGGAGGTGGCAGTGATTGCTCTGGAAGTGGGTCTGACTTCTAAAATGATAAAGCATGTAGCAACAGTCACCAATTTAGTAGAGTACTGACGTGACGAGTTAGTGGAATTCGTGCAAAAATCTGCGGCTCTATTCATGCAGAAAACTGAGAACAGTTCACTTCGGCATTGCATATGTCAGAAGAGACAATGGCTAGTGGCATATTTTATCATCTCCACGTGGCAACAATATCAACTTTTACTTTCATAAGGCGACTCAAACGTCTCACAGAACTATCTTGTACTATCCTGAGATTCATGGTCGACACTATTGTTAAAGTTATATTGTAATAAGGTCGAATGAAGATAATCAAGAACCCGTTGGTATTGGTAGTGATGTTGTAATGTCGAGGTGTGCTTCTAGGTTTTAACTTGTTTTGAATCTTATTGTGTTTTGATTAATTTACTTATTTCTGTAAAATATTATAAAATTCTGTATATTAAGAAAAAAAAAATTCGTGATTCAAATATTTATATACAATAAAAAATTTGGAGTCTCCTATTAATAGTCGAACGCGAAACGCGCGAATTTTAATATGAAAGGCTCATTTGTTTTTATCGCTTATCGATACATATTCTTTTGGGAAAACTAATCAGTTTCACTATTAGAATACTCCTTTATTCGATTTATTTATAGCGTATAGAAAAAGTATGAAAAAGTATGAATCGGAAATTTTCGGACAAAGCAAACGAAATGAAATTAATATTATATATTTTCACATTGTAATAAGCGAACAAATATTCAGTGAGAGATTCCGTAGCGACGTACTAAAACTCGAAGTTTGAAATTCTATCTTGATCCCTACGTGACTTGGATTTCAATGGCTTTCTGGGAGTTTTACCATGAAGCCTCATCTATTTCTCGCTTCTAGAAGTATACTTTATAGACTCTCATATCATACTTTTTGTATTATAAAAGTTGAATTGATTTCTGTAGATTAGAAAATTTGAAATTCTAAGAAATAAATAAATACATGAAATACAGACACGCTTAATGCTGTGTACAAAAACTCTCATTATAGTGATATAATTTTTGTGCTATGGGACAATGTGTGGATAGAAAAAAAGGCCGGCAGCACACCTGCAATGCCGTAGGTGTTGTGGGTGACCATGGGCGGCGGTAGTCACTTACCATCAGGTGAGCCGCATGCTCGTTTGCCCCCTGTATTGTAAAAAAAAAAAAATAGAAGAAAATACTTCTACTTTGGAAACGGAGATATAACAGTTCTACATCAGTCTACTCGTGATCATGGCTGATGTAACCTGGTCGAAACGTCGAGATAATTCAGAAAAATTATCATAATTTACCTAAATAATCACCATCATAATATTTTCCATCTTTTATAAAACATAAAACATGCAGCACGGAAGTCTAATAGAGTTATTATTAAGAAATAAAATAAATCAAAGCTTTAATTCGAAGTCAAAGTTAGAGTAATTAGCCAAAAATAAAATTGAAAATTGATAGTTACAATATATTGTACTCGTATTAGTAAACTTCAACTACGTATTATTTGTCCACTTACAACATAAAAAAATCTATTAAACGAATTACTTTTACTGAGAAAACAAGAAACATAATTAAACTGGAATTAGTACGATAATGTTATTTTATTTTTTATTAGAAAAAAAAAAAGAATTTTGTTTGTTTCTATTAAACATTTCCAATGATTGGGCCAAATATTTTATTGTTTCAAAATTTGGGAGTAATAAAAATGCTGTTACAGACATTTCGCGTTTCTTGCACGTAGTAAGTCACTTAGATTTCACTGCAGAGTGGGTGCCTTATTCTATTTCCGCCTTCATTTCTTCTATAAGTTTTATAAAACTTGCCATTGTTACAAATGTAATTGTAGTAAGAATATTAATAAGCATTTGAGCGAATAATAACATAGAGAGAGACTTTATACAACTTTATACTATTACCATTCCAAATGGGTACCATAAAAATTCATTTCTAGCAAATAAAATTATATAATTAAAAAAATATATGCATTACAAATAGATATCTATTGTATATATGGTATACGGAAAGGTTGTATCATCATCATCATCGAATCGGCTTTTAACTGTCCACTGCTGAACATAAGCCTCCCCCATGGGGCTTTTGCAAGTAGTTGCCATGCTTGGCAGGTGGATTGGCAACCGCATTTAGATTTCGAAGATGTTTTAAGAGGGACGCTCTCCCTTAGTCGCCTCTTACGACACCCACGTGAAAGGAAGAAGAGATCTATTCTGTGCCTGGATCACATGGCTGGTTATAGCCTAACTTATAGGATAAATCATCCTCACCTATCATCCTTCACTGGTGCCCCGCCGGTGTATACCGATAGCGCGGGTAGGGTTACCATTCCATTATCAGTTATTAAAAAAAACTTATAGGTTACTTAATACAATGATTCATATGGACGAAGCTACGGGATACTACTCATAAATCATAAACAAATTTTTTTATTAGTTAGATATAATGAAATGTATTACTAAAAGTAAGTTGAAAGGTTTGAATTAAAACAATTTTTTATAGCAACAGTGATAATTTATTTCACCAATGATTTCAATATAAATTAACATCAGAATTTCACTATCTCAACGTCATTATTATAACATCACACAACACAAGCAACACGAGAATAGATGTACACAATCTCGTACCTGGAACAATTAAATCATTTCAATTAGTAATTGGATGTTACAAGACAATGCGGTTTTGTTCCAAACCATATACACGGAAAGGGTAACGCTTCGTAATGACGCAAAGTTACTTTGCAAATTTTATAACACTACGAGGAAAAAGACGCGCAGAAACAGTTTCCTTCTACTCCCGAAGGTTTTTCTAAAAATTATATATAAATTTGTGGTTTGGTAATTTCTCATTAAGTATCATTGAAGTAGATTACTAAATAAATTAAACTTAATAAGAAGCTAAACAAGTTATATTGTTGTCATCACAGAAACATTCACTAGATTAAATTAATAACATATCTAAACATTTATCGATCAATTAATCGATATTTAAATAATCGGATTAATTATTCGTTTCAGTTCTATTGAAATAAACTACACCAATACATTTCGAAGGCTATAGGTTCGAATCTGGCTGACATCAAAAACTTGTTTACAAATTAAATTTTCTAATTTCTTTTTTGTATATCTTATTTTATTATACATTTTAACTAAATAGGTACACCATAGACATTTACCTTATTATATTTATAATCAAATTAAAAAAAAATACACAATAGACAATTCTACAGACCCAAATACCGCAACAAAAATCTGTCACTGTTGGTATGATCGTAATTTAGAGATTGATAAGAATGGATTGTGTTTCGTCAATAGAGCACCAAGACGAGCCTTTCGACTCCCTAAAGCTTTGTGTCAATAGACCAAATCAATATTGAATGGAATGTGTTTTGGTCCGGTCCACTTCTATTAGAGTGCTAGATTTTAATTTAGCATTGCAATACGAATGTCTTCGTTGAATGTTATAGATTGTTTTAAAAAACATGGTATTATTTCATCTTGGTACGTGAAAAATTCATGTAGCATGTTAGTTTTAAAAAATAAGCATCTAATAAATGAAAAATAATTTGCACTTAAAATTCAAGCCTTTATTATATTTATTTTCTTGTTCTAATTTACTTCAGTTTTTCTTTCTTTTTAAAAAATAAATAACTATAATTAAATTGCTGAAATAATTTTCAAACTTCCATGTTCCATTAATGCTTGTAATAAGTGCTAATAAAAGAAATACTTTTAGATTTTGGTATCTACTAACAATTAAGAAAGTACAAATACAATTATCATCGTCATTATTATTTCAGCTATGGTATTGTTCATGGCTGAACAACAGCTTCGCAGATAAGGAATGATTTTAAACTACCTAGCTCAATTGAGTATACAAAACATTTATAGCTCTCACTATATTAACTTTTGCGGATAACCTAACACACTATTTGTACAAAGTCGCTACTAGAGTTTTTGCCTTAGATCACTTTTATTACCGCCATTACAGTAACATATTAACATGTCCTTGCTGGACATCGATCTCTTTAGAAAAGATAAATATAGTAGCGCAATTATAATAAGATATATACAAATATATATTTAATTCGCAGTTTACGTACCGCTATCTGTGTCCGGCATAGTTATACTATGCATCTCGGAGTCTCGGAGGAATAAGTAGTCTGCTTTAAAGCCAGTACCGTCCAATCTGTCGTTAGACTTGAATGTGATCCTGAGGAAGTTTTTCTCCGACGTAACCTGTAGTTCCTTTATTTGACCGCAATATCTGTGACTATGTGAGTCTATCATTTGACTGGAGAATTGTACGTAATCGCTCGCTGATACTGCTTCACATCTAGAATTATAAAAGTACTAGTTTACACCCGCAATTTTATCTGTGTAACCAGTATGTGTTGATTGAATGAGATGACTGAGTACTCGTATCTTATATCATAATCAAAATCAATATCACTTTTATATGTATAAATTTCATGATATTCTTTCTTTAATATTTATAATATTAGCAAAGTTATCATAAAGTTAAAAAGAAATTAATTTTCTAAAATAACCTCCTTATAATCTTAAATTATAATATTTAAAATTGTAAAGGAAAATATTTTAATTTTATATTAGTAAGGCTTCAACATCTTTGCTATAAGTATACAGTGTTTAGTCAAAACCACGTGAACATCGGTACATGATACTTTTAAAATAAAATCGCGGGCATAACTAGTAAGTATTAGTACATGTTTGAAAGAAAATGGACTTAATTGAATTTAAATCAAAAGAAAATATTATAGATACAAAGTAAAGACACCAACGTTATTTAATGAAGACAAAGTTGTAATTATTGTTTTATACAATCCATTTAAATATTTAAAATAGCAGAAGTGTCATTAAACCTGATATTACAATGCGTTTAATGACTAAAATGTTGGGCAATACAATGTATTTTCATGAATACTAGGCTTCCACAATCCATATAGTTCACTAAGTGGACCCGTTTATCGGGTTTTGTAAAGAAAAGATTACCATAACTTTACGTCGCCTCTACATAATATGTATATATATATAACGTAATGACAAGAAAATACATCGTCGCATTGACAGTGATAAATGTACAAGATGCTGCGTGATATAACACCGAAGAAGAAAATACATTTTTTCACAACCCTAGATAGTTTAGTGATTTGTAACCGAACATATGACAGTTCGACCTTTTATGCTTCAAGAATGAAATAATAGTAGTTACAAATCTAATATTCTATTTAATATATCGTAGGGTCTTTATAAACTTTACATTTTAATCATCGTCATCATCACATAATATTTAATCTGAATTATTTGCATTGTAGGACGACACTCCTCTAGTGAAGCGACAACCTCAGATGCATTGCAGGAAGTTAGTACATGGTATGGGTAGGTAGCATAAAGGATGATTGGAGACTCCGAAAGTAATCAAATTTTCTATCATAGATATTGGTGTCTGTATGTTAATATCGTCAAATTTATCTAGAAGAATTAAAAGCATTCGCGACTGTATTATAAAATAAAAAATTAAATTTAAATTTAATTCATAAAAAAAAAAATCAAAATTGTAGATATTTTGCCAACTTATTTATAGTTAATTAGCTTAGTTGTTTACACCTCAGTATCATTAAATTCATTATAATCGCAATTATATACTTAGATTCTGAAATAATAATATAATTTTCTAAGTCTATCTCTACAATCAGATATTTATTTATTCTCCCATTCCTTATATCATTCCCTACATTTATCAATTTAAAATTAATTCTATTATGAGGCGCCGTAATTTCTAATAATAAAAACACTGAAATGCATTCATAATCTTTCCTTTTTCTAGGTACTCGTAACTATATATATATATATATAGAAACATACATATATAAATTACTTAAAGAATTTGTAAATTATTAAAAATACTTACGGGACAACACCTTCGACATCAAAATAGGTGAAGTGCAAATGTATCCTCTCATTCTCGTTTCCGTAAAAGAAATAATTACACTCCGTGTCCCTTGGATAGAGACCAGGGTAATTTGGTGATGTCACAACACCCTTCTCCCTCTCACTGCTATTAAATACAAAGGCACATGGAAATTCTAAGAGCTGGCTCCCTGATGTGATCCCATAATCTGAAAATAATTCATGACTAGTATAGTACCAATCTACTTACTTTACTCTCATACTGAGTGCTATAGTAAGTATAAATAGTGCTATAGTTGTAGTATAGCTGTAAATCGCTGCTTCGGTCGCTAAAATAATATTAATTCTAAGTTAAGATCTCACTACAGATTTTTGCAGGTACAAGATGGTAGATGATAGATGAGTAACTGTAGATTGTTATTAATTGAGTTTAGGCAACTTGGGTGCATCGTATTACGTCTTCGCTGATTTTTCATTTAAACCAAGTTTTATTTAAGAACTTTATACCTTTTAAAGTCAGCAATGGGATTTTAAGATATTAGAACAAAAAATCTACGCATCTAGGATTAACAATGCGTACATGATAATGCGTACTCTAATATTGCAAGCGTCTATAAACAACAGTAACTATTTCATATCAGATGATCAAAGGTAGCAAACGTCCTTATAGGACGTTTGCCACCTTTATGGTATTAAAAAAACATGTTTAAGCTTCTTTAAGCATTGCTTTGCGTTCCTCAATAAACTAAATTTCTTTTTTTTTGATATGGTTTATTATTCTTTACCAATTTTTATTCAAATGCGTTTACTTTCTGTTGTGGTGGTGTGGTTATATCATAGATACACACATTCAATCATATTCACATTTTCAATATTAGTATTGGTTAATATCGTAGATATTAGTATAATTTTAGAATTAAAAAATTGGAAATCCATATACGAAAAACACAGAATCAATTTTAAAAATTAATATCTTAGACGTTACAGGTGTAATGAAAATATTGATTTGATTTGATGAATAAATTGAAAGAATTCCAATTCATAAGAAAGAGAAATCAGCAAAACCAAGGTTTCCCTAACAAAAACGGAGCCACGTTTTAATAAAACAGGTAGGAGGGAGCAATAAATCGTATTTACATTTCCGCTTAAGTAAATTGAACGGAAAGATTGATCTATGAATCGTACGAAGCAGATTTCTTATTGAAATGCAATTGTATTTTTGTTTCGGCGGACCGAAAAAAGAGAAATTTTTAAATCACTTTTTGTAACAATTAAAAGATGATCGACCTTTATTAGCTTTTTAGTTCAGTGCCTTACTGTAATACCAATATCTTGATCGTATTGTATTGTAGATAATAAGTAATTAAAAAGTATTATTTACTTTTATTTTGATAATTCTGGGTTGCGGAAATGGCAGAGCGACCTGTCCTTGTTATTGGATACGGTCAACTCGAAATATGAGAGATAGAATTAAGAATAAATGTAAAATTAAATATGACAAGTTACAGTTAAAGGGCGAAGTTAAAATAGTGTGTTCAAAACTATTCTTATGGGTAGTGTAAGCAAAAGAGATATTTGTTGACTGATTTAAAGGTACATACATAATATACTAGCTGACCCAGATAACTTTGTTTGGACTTCAATCGTCAACTGTCGGGTCCATATTTTATTATCTGGCTGAAAGTACCCTATCTCTAAAGTTGGAGCAAACAGTATACATTTATAAAATTGCATTTAAATCGGCTGAGCAGTTTTGAAAATTAGTGAGAACTTTGTGATTAAGTTATGTAAAGGTAAGTCAAAGTCTTTTGAACATCTTGCAGCCAATACAATACCATCATCATCATATTAGACGTTAACTGTCCACTGCTGAATATAAGCTACTTTTTACCAGTCGCCAGTTTTGCCAGTAGTCGCCACATTTGGCAGGCCGGTTGGCAACCGCAGTTAGGATTTGATGATGTTTTAAGAAAGACGCTGCTGCCCATCCCTCGACCATTAAGTCCGCTTAGTCGCCTCTTACGACATGGCTTAGTCCATTCTATGCCGGGACCACACGACGATAATGTAATGTCTTTTCAACTACATTGATCTCACGAAGTGAATAAAAAGAAATGTGACGATATATAGAGAAGATCCACTTTCAGCTGTGGTTGAAGAATGATTGTGCTTAATGAATCGGCGCAACTTTTACAAGTATAATTAAATATAGTATAAAACAATATCCAACTTTCAAATAATTAAAATTGCATTCTAACAAGTAAAATTAAAAAATACCTAAGCCAAAAATTCCAATTACACCAGTTTTCAAATAAAAAGAGCACATTTAAATCGGAGAAATTTTTATATGCCTTTTCGTTTGATTCATTCAGAAATACGCAGATAAAGGCCCTAAGCCTTTTATCTAGTGGGGAAAAAGGATTTATTCTTTAGTTTAAAACTCATCCCTTTTATCAGTAGAACATCATGAACTAACTCGAATTTAAAAGATTGTCGTTTATGCTTAAGAAAAATAGGAAGTATCTGATTGCATATTTCTTTAAATTGTAACCAACTTATACAAGCTCTAGCTTGTACAGCTACAGCTTTAAAAGAGTTATTTGAACTAGCTTCTTTGTATCAGCAAGAGAGATTAAACAGAACATTTCTGCTTGGCGCAAAGTTCTTGGTTCTAGATACTAACCTTCAACAAAGGCGTAAGATATCTTAAATCCTCTACTATGTCTCGATGAATAAATTCCACGGAACTCGATCGATAGCTTTGGTCCGTTTGACATTATTGGCTTTGGTATTTCGTTCCCGCAAAACGAAGCCATTTTCTCGAGTCGACCGTCTACATACAAAAACACGTCCAGGGAGTCCATGCTTTCGCAGCTGAAAAACACAATACTAGTAAAGTCCTTATCAATTATTATCCACATTAATAAATGAATTAATTTATTTATTGGAGTCATAAAGATTAATTATCTACCGACTTCAGAAATTATGGTGGAATTTAAATTGATTGAATTTTTTTCAAGCAACTTCTTTTTTTATTTTCTCAATCAATTATAAACCTTTTTCGAAAGATCAATTTTAACTGAAAGGATGTACTTATAGATAAGTTCAATAAAATTTTTATTAAAATCGATTCACTGGTTTAGTATTTAAATCAAAATTATCGGTAAATCCAATCGATGTCGGTTTTTGTTTTATGGATCACAATCTTAAATTATTTTAGTAAGACTAAAATTATGTTAGTGTAACATTTATTATTATTACAATTTGTGTACATCATTTCTGCATTATACCGCTTGATATGATGCAGCAATGATACTTCATATTAACATTCGTTATTCGTAGGCAGTCAATAATGTCTAGAATGCTGTTGGTGTTCTAGCGCAGCCTATAAAATATCTATAAATTGTTATATCACTTGTTATATTTTCTAAAAGTGGATTGTGTTAATAAGTTCGTAATATTGTTCATTAAAAAATCTACTTCCGAGAAATTTATTACACACACACCCGCTTTCTGACACAAGCATTCTTTTTCTTTCCCTCACAAAACACACACACACGCATACACGTACGCATGCACGCGTACACACACAAACGTCTTCGATTTATGAACTCGCTTAAAATAAATTTTACTTTTGTCTTTTTACAAAAAAAGTACATCTATCCTTAAGTATATTTATTAGTTCACCAAGTTAAAGGTTGAAAAGTTATTATGCCATTTATTAAATATTTACATAAAAATTCTTTTTGTTCAATTTTAGTTAAAGTTAAATAATAAAGTTTAAACATGTTTAATCATCAGGGTTCATGTTTTAATATTATTTACTAGCTGTATCCTGGGGCTTTGCTCAGGTGAATCAGTACATAAAGTATCTTATATGCTAAGTTAGGCTATAACCTATCTATGTATTTGCGAAATTTCATTCAAAGTCGTTTAGTAGTTTTTAGATCAGAGAGTAACAAACATTCATCTATCCATCTGTCCTTCAATCCATTCCAAAGTAACGAAATTCATTCAATGACGTTGAGACTCTACGAGTATACTGAATTATTTGGCCAGTATGATAATAATAAATTAAGATTGAGAAGAGATATTTATGCCCAGCCATGGGTCATTATATTGCCACAGTTGAATTATAATATCCATGCTGGGTTATTATAATTCAGTACTTGGACATAACATAACAAAGTACAGTACTCTGTTATGTCCATGGTACTGCTCATGTCTGTATGCAACTTTGTTTGCCATTCTAGTTTGCATAAAAAAAAATCAGCAAATAAAATACATATTAATAGCTACTACATTATTATGGTCATCACAGAATATATATACTGTGACTGTCCATCCATGAAATCTTACTAAAATAGTAAGAATTAGCTCCGATTACTATGTAAAACGTTTATGTGGATACCACTCATATCTCTGTCACTATGTAGTTGTATGATTTCGGTCTGAAGAATAAGGATATATCAGTGAAATTAATAAGTAATTATAGAACTTGTTACTAGAAAATGTATGTAAAATAACACTAAATCTCTCTTATTATTTAAAACTAACTCCGTTTACCATCAGACGGGCCGTATGCTTGTTTGCCATCATAGTAATATAAAAAATAAACCTACGATACTGCCTGTCATAATTTCATTGCTTGTTTAGACAGGTCTAGAAAAGCATCTAACATCTGTTCAAGTTTAAATATAGGAGAGTATATATTATTAAAAATAAAAAAATAAATTATGTTGTAATAATTGATATGTATTCAGGTACAAAATGTATTTAAAATAAAGAAATAAAATTACAAATAAATGTCATTAAACTGATTAAACAATGTTTATTCATTTGTGCTGAGTTTTATGAAATTTTCTTTAGATAAACAGTGTTTTAAATATTCTTTGTAGTAAAATCGAATCAATTCAATGTAATTGTTAACAAATATCCAATATTTTATTATTTGTAACAATAGTCTTAGAAATAAAAGTATTACACTTTCTTTAAATCCTTCTTTAAAATAAAAAAGAGAGTTTAATCGTTTGTATAGAAAAAAGAAAATTGTAACAAATTAAGATTGGTGCTTATGACAGTTGCCCATTATAAAATTTGAGTGATAAATTAATATCTCCAGCAGGAGTTACAGGCTGTTAGCGGAATTTATAACGTGTATAACATAAAATTATAATATAATATTTATTAAAAAATATATTGACTAGAATTTAAACATTTTCTTTAATATTATTTGTTTGAAATTATATTTAATAATAAAATAAGATGTAAAAACTTTTTATGATACTTGTTATTAACTTTTAAAAAGACAATAATTTATAATTGCTAGACAGTTTTTTTTATTGGCTGTTACTTAATTTTTTTTTTTGTGTCTATGCACCTGCTGTTATTGAGTTGCTGAATACTTTAAAACACATGCCGAAGATTCGGTTCGAAGATCGATGCCGAAGAAAAGACTCGGCTGGTATCTTAGTTTTCCAAACCACTTCAAATGTACTTAACTTCGTCTCGTGCCTCTACTATCACTCGAGCAATCAATCTTTATTAACATTTGAACTGTCACCCACGTGAATAGTTCACGTAATTCATTTACGTAATTAAAAATGTTACTTAGTAAACTTTACAATAAAATTCTCTAAAAGATCCGACTTAAGTATTTATGCTATTAGTTACATCAACGAAATTAAGTAGCTTGACAGAGACAAAAAATCACTAGGTAAATGAAGCAAATTTAAGAATGAATTTTAACGTGAACTATTGAAATGTATATACTTACAAATGACTTAATAAATACTTATTTATTGTAAAAAATGTTCCATAATACCTATTTAAATTTTCGGTCATAATAATTCTGTAACATGTATTTTTTCTACTTTTTATCTTTCATACTTCAACAAAGAAAATGATTACTAAAAGTATTTTAATAAAAAGTATGTAGCTGTTCTTATTACATCAAACAAAATATTATTCATTATACTATGGCCATAATAAAATAAAATTAACTAGGTACACGTTCTAATCATACCATCTTTATAAATAGTAATATTTATAAAGTGTAGCTTCCTAAAAATTCCTATAAATTATTTATAATTTAATTAATCTGGTTTTCAAAAGTTCATTATTTTAAAGGTCATTGTTATATAAAATTGCCGTTACAATAATATATTATATACAATACATCATAGACATCACAAAATACAGTGACAGACGCATAGATATATTTTATCAAAATCAGTTTTTAAATGAAATCAACTAGTTTTATCATAATTGAAGTCGGTTTTGTTATGGGGCACAATCTATATTCATTATTACTTTTTTTTTAGGAATTTTCTGTCCTTATATATTAAATGTCACAAGCAGACTTTGTATTTAATAGTTTTACGTATCGCTAACGGTAAAACGGACAATTTTATCCTATATTGCTATACTTATAATAAATACCTTAATAAAATAAACCTGTAAACCGATCCTAAGCTGTACACGCTCTGAATATAGTTGAAGCCATTCAAGTTACTTACTCGATAATATTCTCAGTCATCCTCTGTAAGCTGAAATCTTCGAACACCAGTCTCACTCGCTCCCTCCCGCGAGCTAGAAAGTCATAGTGACATTGCGTTTTTTGGAGGTACGGCGACGGGTACAGAGGGGACGTCAATTTGCCGCTCTTACTCTTGTCACTGTTGAATACTTGATGACACGACGACGCTAAAACATGTCTCAGATTAGTATACAGTAAGGTTAATTAACGTAACTTATTCCTTGAAACGTGTTATATTTATTAATAGGGTTCAAAATTTTTTTTTGATTACAAACAGAATTATATATATATATATATATATATATATATATATATATATATATATATATATATATATATATATATATATATATATATATTAATATTGGTTACCATTTGGAAACGTATAAAGCCTCTTTTTTAGCTAATTTCTTTTCTTTTTTAATTACTATAATTTACTCAAAGCTTTTTAGGGAAGGAAAAAATAATTTTGAAATTGGAAGACAAGACCGTCTATTGGGTAATATAGAAATAAGTAAATAAAATATTATTGAAATAGACTAGTAATTGTTATGACTAAATAAATAACTGTCTATACTGCCAATACAATTTTCAAATAATATTTCATTTATCGAGACTCGCTCCTATTACAGTTTTATTACATTATATAGATAGAAATAGATTTCAAATATTGCCCTGACTCCATTAAGTTACAATTACATCTCGATTCAATTACCTGCAGGACTAAGTTTCATTCGGTTTCAATTTTTATTAAGAGGTCGAAGGTTCCGTACGCGGATGGAATTTGAAATAAGGTTTTATTCTATTAAGTAATTTAGAAGTATATATATTAGAGTTTGTTAGTTTAGAAGAACACTAAAAACATTTATCAATATATAGTTATTTGTTATATTATTTCTTAATACAGAGAAATACTCATAAATGTTTAAAATTTTTGTCCACAAACAACAATGCTAATCGTAACAAAATGAGTATAATTATATATTTGTATTACATTAAAATAATTATCAAAATCGGTTTAGACTTAGCAAAAGTATCGAATAAATTACACACACAAAAAAGGAGGCGATTTGAAAACTACTTTCTTTTTGGAACAGCTTTAAAATAATTCTTTAAGTTTACATCATAAAGTTATCCTTTTAAATTTACATCATAAAGTATCTGCGCTAAAATCCAATTATAATATTATATAATGTATTAATATTTGAATTACAGAATGTCACATTTTTATAAATTCTTTAATATTTCATACTCAAAATCTTTTTAATTTACAAATAACGTGTACACAATTCTGAAACAACAGGGATTCGGGGTAATAAATATGAAAAAATAACTTACTAGCAGCACTGACTGCCGGTCCTAAACCGGATATTGACTCTGTCGTACTCGACTTTTTAATATCAGAATCTGTTCACAAGAAAAAAAAAATATAAACAAATATTAATATAAATTCATGGCACATAAAAGGACTAATAAAACGAATCCATTCATATCTTCTTGTCAGCTCTTTATAATTTGAATGTCATTCATACCGTTAAATAGCCTTCATTCCTTTTACGATTCTTGAAATTCTTGAGTAAACATTTTCTCAAACATTACATTTGATAAATTAATTTCTGTAATAGATATTTAACATCTAAATCACAACATTCTTAGAATATGCTTACTTAACCTGCGCTAGAATTATCGTCCATATGGAATTGGTAGCTTGCTTTGAATCCTTGACCCGGCGTGTTGGAATTAGCCGTAAATTGAACTAATAGATCTGAACCGGTCGATAAAATCTCGTAACCTGCGGGAATGTACGGATTAACTTAGGATTGTTTAAACTAATTACATACGTATTTGTAAATACAATTCCTTTTCAGGTTTCCCTGATAAGCGATGGTCGAAACGGAAACCTTATAATTTCGTTACTAAGAATATTCGACACGCTATAGGTCGATTTTGGCTACGGTTTCCACATTGTATTTATCAGGCCGTCGATTTGTATGCCATTATCAGTACAGTATAAAAAAATGTATATCATTCTATATTACTACATGTGAAATGTGAAATGACTATTGGTGGGCTCGCGAGTTCTCTCTTAGCTTTCCATCAGATGAGATTATGATCGATCTTAGGACCACTCAAGAATTTAAAAAATTCTTACCTACAATTTCATTACAAATCATTGCAAGTACAGGTGCCGTCGATAATCTCCCGTCAAAAACTTTTATTATATCGGCTCGATTGAGACAACTGGAAACAAAGTTATTATGAATATTGAGAAGGCAATATATCATCAGTAAACATCTGTCTGTATAATATTACCTTTCATCTCCTTTTTGAAGGAATGATTCCTCGAATACTAATTTGATTCGCTCGTGTTGTCTGCAAGAATAAAAGTAATATCATATCAATACGAACAATATTTACCCAGAGACCAATTTAGTTTCTGCTCGGTTTGAAATACCTATTTTGCATATTTATAGAAAAACTTCATCTTTTACTCTCTGCGCTGATTATTTTCAGCGTTCAAATTCAATTTCTACTCGATATATATTTTCTTTAATATATTTACAATTTTTTGTCATCATTAACATAGAAAATATGCAATCACAATCAAATGTTTTGTAAAGGACCAGAATGTGTTTAAAATTTTATATTTTGTAATAACAATACCAATAAAAATTTTATATGCAACTTGCATTCAAACCGTTGTACAAAAGTATGGACCGTTTAATGGCGTAAAAATATCAAAATCTGTTACAGTTAAAAATTAGAGAGACAATTTTGTTTCACATGCACACCTGATACAAAAAAAAAAAATATTTTATAGGCATGCATTTTTTACTTTAAAATTAATTAGAGTTCCTTTTTAAATTTCGAAGTTGTTAAGTAGTGGAAATATACTTTTTTTATATCTTTGCTAAAAGCTCTTGAACAAAGTAGTTTTTTTTTTTTTTTAATGTAATAATGTTTTTAATTATAGTATGTTTAAGCATAAAGTTTAACACTGATTACTACACTGGGCTGAGACTGTCTTGTAGGAAAGAGTTTCTATCTAATCCTCGATACTCGATAAGAACTCTTATTAATGGTTCCTATTGAGTGTAAAATCAATCAAGCATCACTGATTTTAATACGTGACTAAAGCTGATACAAATTATTACAATATTCATACAGTATAATAGTCATAACTCACGACAGTTACCATTCAACAATGGTTTCTATGTTGATTTTTTTTGGTACTACTATTGAGAATTCATCTCAAACTTGCAAGAAGGTTCAAGGTCTGCTGTCTCATATTCGATAATCATTCTTATTAATATTAATTTAAGCCCCCCACTTGTACAAAATTTTATTGTGCAATAAAGAATAAACAAATATTAATTTCAAATGTAAAGTCTGTTTAATCCGTTTCTAAGGCAAAATTTTTAATTGTTTATTTCAATCCTAAAGGTACGTCTTAAAGTTAATTTTCTAAAATTTATGTAACTTAGTAATTTAGAATTTTTGTACCTTGCACTGAAATGATAGGTACACCTGATATTGCTAGGGTAACTCGAAGGGTAACGAGGACTGTACAATCGACCATGGGCTGGCCTGTTGGGTTGTGAATTAAAAACGTAATCGCACCATGTATCCGGTACCTGAACGCCATCCGTTTCGAAGTTTCCTGGAAAGTAATAAATATATTTTAGGATTGATGGCATAATTAGAATGGTTTAATGCTGAACTCATTCCTTTTAATTTTATCTTAATATTCTACGTTATCTGCCATTAATTGTCCACTGCAGAAAACTATTGGCAAAACCACTGCAGAAATTTATTGGGGGAAGTATCCCCCATAAAGGGGGGTTTTGCCAATAGTTACCACGCTAGTCAGGCAGGTTTGCAATCGCAGTTAAGTATTGGTGATGTTTTAAGAGGGACGCTGCTGCCCATTCCTCAGCCATTAAGTCCTTTTACGACACTCATGGAAACTGATTGAGTAATTCATTCTATGCCGGGACTTGCCACTAGGACAAAACCGAGAACTACTGGCTAAATACCCTTTTGTGGGAGGTCTATGTTCACTGGGGCGGACAGTTGACTTATAATATAAAAAATCTAAGAATATTGTACTCTTATGTTGATCGCGACACAGTCGAAAACTATGTTCATGTTATTCATAAGCACTGTTCATAACTCTTATAGCTCAGCACAGATTAAAAAGTAGTTGGACATTTCTGAGGATAATTCCATTCTGAGGAGGATTCCAGGTCATGATGGAAAACGATATTTTCCTGATTGGCCTGGGTCTTGGATATTTATCTATATATGTATCTATTATAAATATAGTATCGTCGAGTTAGCATCCCATAACACAAATCTCGAACTTACTTTGGAGCTAGCTCAATCTGTGTGATTTGTCCGTATATATTTATTTATTATTTATATTATTCATGTTTATTAACCAGAAACTAATTAATTAATTAATTTCTGAGGATAATATGTTAGTAAAATAGATACAAATAATTAAAACACTAGTATAGTCTGTTTTAATGGAAATTAATGAAAATGTAATCGAATAAGTGACCCGTCGCAAGACAGTTTGCTAATGTCCAATAGTAGTACAATTCTAAGTCGATTAATTTAGTGTTCCAATTTGTTACTTATTTCATTTAGATAATGTTTCTGTGACAATTAGATTATATTAAAACCATATTTTATTACGGGTTGCCTTGCAAATAAAAGTAACAATTACTAGTTTAAATAGATAGTTTTATATAATACTAGCTGACTCGGTAAACGTTGTTTTACCATATACATTATTTCTAAAACTATATATGAAAATATATCGTACTTCAATTATTATATTCGATTGTCATCTTTCAACCCTATTGCGGCATATAAAAATTGCGATTAAAAAACAGGGTTTGATTGTAAAAGCGTGAAAATTTGAATTTGTATGTATTTTTCAATGCTAAATTATAATAAAATAAAAATGGAAAAATATGTCAATGAATTAAAAAATTTTTTTTTGGGAGGGTCACCCTTATTATTGAATATGAAAAATAGATGTTGGCCGATTCTCAGACCTACCCAATATGCACACAAAATTTCATAAAAATCGGTAAAGCCGTTTCGGAGGAGTTTGGTAACAAACACCGTGACACGAGAATTTTATATATAAGATATATATTTTAATACTTTAAATAGATACTAGACGAACTGTCTGATAACTTATATTAAACTACAACTTAAATCTATATTTGACTAAAACTAATTTTGGACGCCAAGAGAGGTAAAACTATGGTTATCCTTAGGGATATTAAATGTATAACTTCAGGATTCAATCAAGGGAATTTTCTTAGATAACAATGAAGATACATCGTAATTAACTGTGATATCATGTGTTCCATGTAACCGTTAATTAGGTATATCAATTTGTATGTCTGAGTCCCTTCTGTACGAGTATATAATCATCTGAAATTATTTAAGATTAGGTAATTCGTTTAATACTGATTTAGTAATGCCGATGATCTTTAAACTACTGGTTCTGTTCACTAGTATTATAAAAACGAAACTCAATTAGGTCAGCTTAAATCACGTCATAACTTTCTTTATTCTACCTCTCCAAACATGCCGTCTACTGTCACCCTCTGGTCTTATTTTACCCTCATTTTATTGATGATATTTATTATTCAACTACCCTGTGACTATACTTCATTGGGATAGCTAAATATATACGGGGTGAATAGACCTTCTGCACCAGAAATACCGTAATAATTTATTCGAAGTTTACTCAAATGTATGTTATGTACTTACGTCTATCTATAAACCTATAGGTCCCAACAAATCCTGTAGCATTAGTTGCCTTTGGTCCTGTGTGTAGCTCCAAAACTAGTAATGGTCCATGAGAGTACAAAGCTGGTGGAGCGTCCAGTCTACTGCCACAAAGAGCTCTGGTCCAAGCAGAGTACTCATTGACGCCAGGTGGTCCAGGACCATGCGTACCACCTTCGGAGTACACCTTCAGATAATCACCCCGAATACAACTGCAACAAAAACAACCTTTAAGCTTGAACATTGGGACTCTGGGCATCATGCAGAGTTATGGTTTCTGTTAAGATAAACGAGCGCAAACATATTTTTTATATCATGGATAGTTTACAAGTTTCCATAGCCACCTTCCGTCTTCATCATCAGACCATTTTCGATGCTTTCATAATGTTCGATGCTAACATAATAATATCACTAAAATTATATTGTATAAATATGACAAATTTCAACACAAGATTTATTATTAAAATTTGTTAATTAAATTTGATATACACATATATGTCAGCAAATTAAACAAAATATTTCAATAAATAATAAAATAACTAGGATTTTCGGAAAATAAAACCTGTTCAGTAAAATAAAAAAAATCGTAACGGAAAGACCTAATAAAAACAAGTTAAATAAAAGTTTAAAAAGAATTTATGACAATATAATAAGCTTAAGTCTTGCACGACTGAAAAGAGATTAATTAATGTGTGTGTTTGATAACAGTATTAATCAGTCTCACAGACTCACAGACAGATGGATCTAGGTGACTCTTTAAAAACTATTGTGGTTATTTACTAGAGAATTTGCCATGATATGCCTACTGTATCCTATACCTACGGTATCTGATTGCACTTCATTGTCATCGTTATATTACTCATTGATATCCTGCCGTTATATACCATAAAATTGTATTAAACATAGTTTAATATTTTCAACTGGTTTCAAAACAGAGTTTCTCAATTAGTCTATTTTTTCTCATAAATCCGATAATTATAAACCGATTGATAAAATTCTTTTTTTTTTATCCGGAAGGATAAACTTACAGATTAGTCCCTTAGAAATTTTATTAAAATCAGTTTCGCAGTTTAATTTTTAAATGAAAATAATTAAAGTGGATTTTTTTTGTGGAACATAATCATAAATTATGTTTCATTTAATAACAGTTATAGGTAAAAGTACATTAAATACATAAAACAATTGGAAAGTAATAAAATACTAATAATTATAAAATAATTATTAATAAAATAATAATTATGAATATACAATTGAATTAAAAAAAAAATTGTAGAATATTATAGAGTTTACAATCGCTAATTTCGAAATTTAATGTCTTTAACGTTCAAGAACTCATCGAAGTCAGGTTCTATATCTCACAGGCTTAGTTAGCTCAGTTTGATATCGTTACCAAGTTAGTTTTGGAAGTAGTGAATAAGCAATAAACTTTTGGTTAGATTGTAGCTATGTAATTATTGAAATGGATAACTGTAATCCTCGAGATATAAAAGGATAACTAGAAATATAAACTCCATTAGTAAAGTCAAATTGAATTTGTTGTCATATTCATAAATATGCGCAAACTCAATTTTAATAGAACATAATGAAAAACCAATAAATTTTTTGTTAATTTTATCACAGGAACACTTTAAATGAAATTAGCAATAGAAACATTTAATAAATTTATTTATTTTTGATTTGTACTAATATTATTATCATCATGTCAGTCATCTACTGTCTACTGCTGAACGTAGGCCTCCTCTATAATGGGGGATTTACCAGTAGTTGCTATCCTTGACTGGCGGATTGTCAACCGCAGTTAGGCTTTGGTGTTGTTTTAAGAGGAACGTTTTTGCTCAACCCTCGACCATTATGTTTCCTTAGTCGCCTCCTACAACGCCCGCGGGAAAGGATGGACTGGCCTGTACTATGCCGAGACCATAAGGCATAGAACTTCTATTTAATGTTAGTAGACTATCTTAAAATCGGGTCAACTAGCTGACTTGGCTGTGATCGAAATTCTCACCATAACATATATTGTAATAAATGAATTTATTATGGTTATGTTTGATGTTCAGTAATACTAAAGACAAATAATATTAAAGACAAACAATATTAATCTATTCTCAATTTGACCACAGACTTTAACGATAAACAAAAGAGTATTATATGCGTATGTGTGTCAAGTACATGGTAGTGTGTGTAATGTTTTTTTTTTTTGTTTTTATTAATTTTATGTATTTTTATGTATAACTATTTAAGAAATATATATTAGTACTCTAAACTACTTTTCTATATAAACTATAAGTGTGGCAAATTTCATACTCCTCAATCCGCACAATTTTCGTGAAAAGGTGTACAAAGATTTTGCTTCACGTATTTATGATTAAATTTATAGATACTATATGTCAAATTTTGTGACAATTAGTTGAACCGTTAATAATTCTACATTATGATGTCAGTTCATATTGTGCACTGTAGTTATTTGCATGTTAATACATGTAGATAAGTTCAAGTAAGTTCAATAAATAAATTAAAGTTTATTCTTAGCGGAACACGTCGCGAAGTTAGTTGAAAATTATGCTGTCATATCTATACGTTAGCTAGGTTTTAAAGTTACTTCGTGAAGCGTTTTAATTACTCAGACAATATTCTCTAAAATTTAGATTCTCTAAGAATAATATCATATTAGAAGGAGACTTTGTACAAAAGTCGTCTGTCCCATACATGTTTTTGCCGTTAATCAGCTGTGTTCCAATTTTAAAAATGAAATATAGCAGTGAAATTACAAGGTACAGAAGTATACCACTATTATTATATAAGCCATTAACTGTCCATTGCTAAACATAGGCCTTCCCTATAAAAAGAGTTTTGCCAGTAATTGCCATGTTTGGCAGGCAGATTGGCAACCGCAGTTATGTTTTGGTGATATTTTAAAGGGATGCTGCTGTCCATTCCTCGACCATTAAGTTTCTTTAGACGCCTTTTACGACACCGACGACAAAGTTAGAGCTAGCTTATTCTATGCCGGGACCATACGGCATTAATACTATCGTTCTTAAGAATAGAAACCTCAGAAGGAACTTTGGATATCAGCGTATTCCTGTGGTATCTATAGTGCTGTTCATACCTACAGATGATGATATGTGGTTTCCGCTTTTCATAAATCTAACGCACTCTAAGTATCATACAGAAGAATACAGTAAAATTGAATATCATATCAAAGTCAAATCACATAATATCATCAGAGATTAAGTATATATCAGATATGTATTATGGAAGGGTCAACCGTTAGATCACAAAAACGGAGATAGAGTTCCCATATCAGTTTTTGTGATCGTGAGTAATCTACTCGTGTAAATATAATGAGTTTATACTCTCTACAAATATGACCAATATTGATTTTGGTCAGATGTCTAGAGTCATGATAATCTGATTAGGTATACAACTTTTAGTGAAAAAAGAAAGAAATGAAAAATTTACTATGCCAATGGTCTAGTGAAAATAAACATTCGGTTTTACTGATAGCTATCGATTCGCTTAGATAAATGAAGAAGACGATGATGAAGGTTCATCACAAAGCAAAACATTACATATTCTATACATGATGAACTATTCATTTGTATTCATATTTTTGTTTTTTATTTTATCTCTTTCTAACTGCGTTTGCCGTTGACCGCCGATGGCCTTTACAGTTTCACCGAACGCGTATGCAGGGGCGAGTGCAGATCATCTCCTTCTTTTTAATCTGAGTTTCCCTGAAGAGAACATCTACATTTTTTTTAAACTGTGTTAAGTCGTTAATTTTTATATGACAACCATTGTGCTATTATATTATTCTATATTTTGTGCTGAGTATTTTTGTATTTTTGGGTTTTATATTTTTTTTTTTTACATTAAATCTGTCTGTACAGTATGATTACTGTAATCGTAATCATAGTATTTTCTACCATATACATACATATATAGTGCTGTTTATGTGTATAGGTAAATATTCCCAATTTTTTATAAAAAGGAGAAGTAAGGACTGTTCACTAGGGAATATTGGCCCCATTATTAGCAATATATCCTGTCAGGACTATCGCCACGCGGTTACCCCTAAAAACTATTGCGATTAATTCTTATAAATTCATTACAATGAATTGACTGGCCTGCTTCATCATATAAATAAAAACTTTCCATAAGATAGATCGTTTACTTGTTTGCCATTTGTGGTATACGAAACTCTTTACATATACTGGATTGTTCTTTTATCATTGACTTATGATTGTGACATTGCTTTTCTAACTTTCAATGTCTATCATCATACTAATGTATCTTTATTTTTAGTTGGAATAAACTAATTTTTCCCTATGGTCTATATCTATGGGGCCATCATAATATGCCTTTTATATTTTTATACTGAATTTTCTATTGTCTTATGTTTTACAATTCTGTCATTTATAGTTTTTATGTTTTCTGAGTGATAAAGACGTGTAAAAGAGAAATACAATATCTAGCATTTTATTATCAACCCGTTTCTCTCAATATCGTTGTGTATCACTATTTTAAGTCTTATAAAAAAAGATATTGATCTTAAAGAAACAATTTAAGTATTCATTAGGTTTCAAATAAATCTAGCTTAGTTCCGTAGATTGAGACAACGGTTGTCAAAGTTTTAAATAGCCCTTTAAACAGAACTGAGCAACACGAAAGAGCTCCTTCAATTAATTAACAACGAAACACCGCAGATGGAGAGGAAAATGTAAGGGATACAGATAAATTATATACATTTAATGGAAAACGATCCAGCATAAACTAGTAGTTGGATGGGAATACTATTGTCGGAAATTTATATCGCGTGTAGATTAAATTACTAAAGCTCCGACAGTTATAACGAGTTGACGATTTATATGTAATTGAAACGAGAACTGTTTTAGCTGTACTGAAAATTTAATTATACTTAGCGTGCTCAACGTTGTTTGTAGTAAATTATATTTGCAAAAAGTTATTGGTGTCAAATAATTTCAACGAAAACTTATATTGAGTGCAACTATTGAAGGTTTCAATATAACTTAATCTGACAAAGTGCATTCATTTACGTCCTTATTCATAATTCACCAGAGGGAGACTTTGTACAAAAGTCGATTGCTTGGGTACCTCTGTGCCATTCGTGTTTCAACCGTGAAGCAGTTGTGTTTGTTGTAGATATGGCGTGAATTTACTGGGTACAGAGGAATAACACCTGAGTTCT